GGTCTTGTCGTTTCAGTGGAAAGTCTTTGAAATACTGATACTCCTGTCGGTTCAGCTTTGGAGCAACTGCATTCTGTCAATACGGCCTTAATAAGGCTTTCACAAGCGCAATGAGACTCCATTTCTCGAGCAACCCTTTTTTGTGATTTGTTAGTTTTATAGTACAGCTCATCATTACCATGATTCGAGCAACTTATCTTTTGTTTTTGAACCTTGTTAACATGCACAGGACGACTGATTATCGCCTCTGGGAGACCCAAGGTTATGTGTTTACCTCCCACCGCCTGTGAGTGTGGAGTATTTACAGGCCCTAAACGAGAGTGGATTGGTACTTTCTCATTTTGGGTTTGTTTTGTTCTAACTGGAGGATACTTACGACCCCCAGTGTAAGAAACTACCAAGGGTTTATCCGTCATATCCGAGTGTTCTTTGATTGGGGTTTTTCCTCGATCGTCAAACAAAGGACCGTGGCGATCTACCATTGTAATCTTGAATTTTGATAAGTCTGGACTAACCCAGGGTTTCACTGGTAATACAATAGATGCAATTGAAGTAGATAGACAAGGAGTAGACGCTGATGGATTTGAAGAAGAAGACTTGTTAAACTTCTCTTGGCCGTGGCAGGAGGAAGTGGCACGGCAGGAAGAAGTGGCGCGGTAGGAGGAAGTGGCGCGACAGGAAGAAGTGGCACGGCAGGAAGAAGTGGCGCGGTCTGGCGTGGTCAAGTGTCTTGCCGCGGCAATGTAGGATGTCGCGATCGAAGGATTCGCTGCGGCAGTATGGGCAACCGCGGTTAAAGGTTAGGTCTCTCCGATCCAATTCTTGAACATGCCTGGTTTTAGGAATCTAGACTTTGCAGATCTTCGGTGGTTTTTCGGACATTATTTCTTTCTTCTCTTCCTGCATTTGTTGACGACGGGCACGGGTGCGAGCGGCATTTGCACGACGCTTCTGTATTCATTCTTTAAGGGTCGAACGAGTCCTTTTGTCGAGAATCCATTCCCCTGTCGTAAGTTGTGCAAAAATATGAGCGTCTTGCTTTTGGGGCAACTGGTTCGTTGCATGCTTTCTCGACTTTAGGTCTGTATAGTAATGGACCCTATCGGTTTGTTGTAAGGCTTTAGCCAATTGACAGGCACAGCACTGGCGTTGTCTCTGACGAGCCCTCTTTGTTAGCACTGGTGGGCCATGATTCAATGACTCCTCAAGCGGTGCAGGGTCATTGAGGGCAGAAACTTTGCAAGGAGAGTTTTCAACTGTAGTCTTCATCGGGGTCGAAGACTGGAAAACCTTCTTAGAAGATGAAATCTTCCTACATTTGTGAGGCGAAGAAGATTTTGAGGATGAGGATGACAAGTACTCCTCAAATTTTGCTTGATCGAACTCATATTCGATCTCTTCGTTGATCACAATCTTGATTGGTTGCGACACTACGGCCTCGGCAGCGAGACCGTTGGCTCTCACTGTGGTCGCCAGTTTGTTTTCGTCGAAAGTTGATGCTATTGTGGAATTCATTATATCTTCTGTCGCTTACAACAAATTCGAAAGAAACTAGTCTTTTTATAAGACTTCTTTTACATAATAAAAGGAAAATTACAACTCTCTAGAAAATAACACAGAAATCGTTTATCAACTACTGTTTTGTGGGGCTTTGCTTGTGCCGGGAGTTGGCTCGTAGACCACCAAATCACAGATTGTGAAGAGATTTAGGGATTTTTTCTTCGTTTATCGAAGTAAGAATTTAAAGCGAATATCTTATCGATGTAAGATGTTCACTCTTCCAGAGATCAAGTGAGAGCTTAGATCTCTAGGAATCGTTAGAACCAGTTATGAGGAATGAAGACTCTCTCTAGTTCAACAAAAACCTTAAGCTTCTTTGCTCCAATCTGCTCTCTCTTCATTTGCTTCGTGTCTAGGAATATATTGATAGGGATAGGGATACACAATGGTTAAAAAATGGGGGCAAAATAACTGATCGAGTGTATATTCTTTGGGCACGTCAGTCTACGCTGCCGTGGCTATTAGCACGTCAGCGTGGGCTGGCGCGGCCAAAGAGACAATTCCAGCCACATTCTCTCCTTCTTGAAACTGTCCTCCCATGACTTTTAACCACTCTTTTCGTGGTTTAACCGCTTGTCCATGTCAGAACACGTCTTTTTTTATCATGGCTCCACGTGGACCTTAAAAATCATCGCGTAACTGCTTTAGAACTTGCACTTGTGCGGCAGTCAACACCTGGCGCGCCTATTGAGCGGCAGCCTTAACACTGGCCGCCGCCGTATGCGCCGGTAGCCAATACTGCCACGCCTATGCGCGACCGTCAACACTGCCGCGTCCACATGTGGAAGTTTTCTTTATTTTTTGTTTTGTGAATTCAAATTGTTTTGTGTTGATTCACAGATCCTTTTGCTTACTTTGGTCTTGAATAATCCCCTTTGACTTAAAAAATAGCACTCGTTGTCTTCTCTTTACCTTGAGCTATATTTGGATATTTATGAGCATTTTTTGATGCCTACAGATGGTAGTGGAACATATAGGACTGTCTATCCCTCAGGAATCTCCTAGATAGCACGACTCTAGCCTACTGACCCCTTAATCCTCGAGACGGCTGGAGGTTCCTTAAATCTTCAGCTGCTTGTCGTAATCGTGACCCTGAGACTGCTGATTCTGACCTCTGTCATGCTGGCCTCGTGCTAGTGTACTACGACAATCCTTCGCTCAATGTCCGATCTTGTTATAATTATAATATGTACATAGAATTCCACGCTGCTGTAGTGCTCTCGAATCATGTTGTAGGTTATGCTTTCTTCTTATGTTGTCCTTATTGTTGGTGGTAAAAATCCTTAACCCGTTGTTGGGACTGTCTAGATTCTGTAATAGGTCTCTTGCCCTTGTTATTGTCATGCTGATCATGATTCCATAATTAACTACATGCATATCTACCTGCTTTAATCAGACTAGTTTTACTGCTTGTCATAGAAGAAAACAAAATTCTCCCAAATAAGGGGTATTCGCTGCTCTGGCGAAAATCAAAAGTCAGTACCATCCTTCGGTGCTATCCTCTGGTGCTATCCTCTGGTGTTATCCTCCGGTGATATCCTCTACACCGAATACATCTAACTCTGCTTTCGTACTAAATCGACATTAAGAAATCTTCACATATTTCTTCCATTTATAGGTTGCACATAAACTTGTTGTGCCCTAAAAATATGATGTTCTCAGTGTCTGATGTCTTTATTATTCTTATAGAGCTAATTCTCCTGCTCTACGGCTCTATCAGTAGCTAGTTGTGGTGATAGTATAATCATTAGTATTGTCTCTTCAATAGGCACGACTGGTACAACTGGTAGTGGAACTACATAAAATACAATGTGGCTCGTTACTCGCTCCTCGAGTGTTGCTAGTCTCTGCTTCTGCGATCGGTGTTACGAAATCGATTAGATACACATAACATAACATATCACATAGTATTCACGTAAATACTTTTCAATCAAAGTAAGGTAGCCATAAAAAAATATCATAATTTTTGAATATACGTATATAATATCCTCACTCATTCTAAGAATTCCTAGCAGACTCTATATATGAATTCTAGGAAACTCTATCCTATCTCCACAACTCGACACAGGATGATCCTAAGGATGCTGAAACTAGAGCTCTGATACTAACTATGACGCCCCAAGGTTCACACAAGGTTGTAGTCTAAGGTAAAACCCGGATTGTCAAACCTACCCTACATCCACACAGTGCATTAACATATTTCACCAATCATAGTAATATTCTCTAGTAGAATCAATAACAAGTGAAGGTACAAAATAGACAAAATGTGGAAGTAAAAATAATAGACATGATATAGAAGGAAAGATCTCATAAATAAAAGAATCTTGTCTCAACTGAAGTACATTTGATATATGAAATAATAAAACGTCTTAATATGAATCAACTAAATCTCATACTATGGCACTATGCCCTTATAAAATGAATACAACTCTAAAGTCTGAACAATGAACGTAACTATATGGTGGAGCTTCAGCTACTAAGACTGTGCGACGGTGACTATGCTAAAACTACATCATCCTGCGGCTCTCCGAAACTCTGAGCTGCCTGAAAGAGATAATTTAAATAAAAAGAACAAGAACAATAGTGTCAGAGCACTACAGTAATATCACCTCCATCCGACCTAAGGGAAGGGCTGCCAAATGAAGTGGAGGCTCTACCTATTAAGTATAGTCTACCTAAAATTATTTTCCTTGTATCTAATAGAATTAATATTTAGACACCTACAACGAGACGTAGTATGTCGAGCGAAATAATCCAAATAAGTAAACCCTCATGTATATATCATATGTCTCAAGTTGTAGATACCTAAACATTAACACCAAACTAAAGATAAACAATCTAAAGAAAAACCAATAATTAGAAACCCACAATACGAGATTGGTAAGTCAAGCAAAATACTCCAAATAAGGAAACCCTCATGTATATACCATATGTCTTAAGTTGTGAATCGCTAATCATTGATCCCAACTAAGAAGTAAAAGAGAAGCAATACATGAAAGTAGACTACAACTCCAAACTTCAAACATGATGACCAAATATAACAATCTTAGACTACCTTCGGGTAGTGGCACAGTAATAAGGAAAATATCATCCAAAATAAGCATCTTCATAGATCATGCCATGTATGGCAAAAGTATCTGAATTGTACCCTACTCTCGGGTAATCTAACATGGGAACGAAACTACATCTGTGTATGCATATATTTTTTTTTTTTTTTGAAAGATAAGTATAATTTCATTAAAACCAAATACACGTACAAAGTGACAGTATTAGCAAAATAACAACAGGAATCTAAACTAGAGAAACTATAGAGAGGGGAGAGGACCATGGCCGTCACCCTCAACTATATAGCCCTAGAAAGATTCCTGAGTTATCAAAGCCACATGATTACAAAAGTACCCTCAGTTACATAACAAAACAACCAGCTCACGAAGGGACAATCACAGATTTACATAGCTCCAATTTGATAGAATATCTGAATTACCAACCTTCCAATTGCAAGTCCTAAGCAGAATATTAATGTCTTCATATATTCTCCTAAACACCATAATCTTATGTAGTTTTTGATCATGGAAAATTCTTTTATTCCTTTCCTGCCAAATATGCCAAACAGTTGCATTTAGTGCTAATCTAGCCAAGATATAGGTATTATCTTTCTTCTTGAACTTTTGTTGGATTTCCAGGGCTTCTGTCTTAAGATCCTTAACATCAGTAATTTTCATTTGCAGTTTCAGTTTACATAGCTTCCAGATATATGCTGAATATTGACATTGGAAGAATAAATGATCCCTAGTCTCCTTGTATGAATTACAAAGAGCACAGACTTCTATTGAAGTTATACCAAATTTGAATAGTCTGTCTCTTGTAGCTAACCTGTTACATAAACTTCTGAGCATGCAACAAGACATTCTAGGATTTGAGTTTGGGAACCATACCACATTGTAAAGCTCAAATTTGTCATAGGATGTACGAACTTGATTCCAAGCTGAAGAAAAGGAGAAATCACCATCACCTGTATGCAACCATATCCATTGATCTTTCTGACCTGAAACTGATATATTAGTAATGGATGATATCAGAGGATTAAGGCATGGCAGTATGATATTCCATTGAGAATTTTGGATGATACGAGAGACTGTCCAAGTAGTAGTGTCTGTGTGTTGAGGAGTGAGATAATGTAGTAGTTCAATAATTCTTCCTTCCTGTAACCATGGGTCAAACCAAAGGGAAGTGGTCTCTCCATTCCCAATAGATTTCATAATGCATTTCAGAGCTTGATTTTTGAGACTAGATATATGCTTCCAGGTTCCAGAATCCAACAGATTTGTATTAGATTCCCAAAAATTGTCTCCCCTGATATATCTGACATTCATCCAGTTTGTCCAAAGAGAATTAGCTGTAAGAAGTCTCCATATCAATTTAAGGGCAGCTGCTTGACTTAGATCCTTCAATCTTCTCAGACCAAATCCCCCTTCCTGTTTTGGTCGACAAACTTCCTTCCAGTTGATAGCATGAAACTGTCCAGACCAAAGAAAATTTGCAAAGATAGATTCCAGGTTTTGTATAATGGAATGAGGGAATTTATATACAAAATACCAGTAAGTAGAGGTACTGAATAATACTGATTTGATGAGTTCTAGACGACCTGCAAAGGATAAAGAATGAGACATCCAAGCTTCAATCTTATGTCTGACCTTGTCAATAAGTGGAAGAAAATCCTTTGTTTTTGGGTATTTTGCAGATAAAGGTAATCCTAAATATTTCATAGGAAGAGTCCCTATTGAAATTCCCACAATAGAGCTTAACACTCCTTTACAGTTGCATCCTTTGCTGAAATATAATTTGCTTTTCTTTCTGTTTATACACAGTCCAGTATTCAAAGCCATAGTATCCAACAGATTATTTACAGTTGCATCCTTTGCTGAAATATAATTTGCTTTTCTTTCTGTTTATACACAGTCCAGTATTCAAAGCCATAGTATCCAACAGATTATTGATACCTTCAAAAGATTTTTTATTTGCTCTACAAAAAACCAACATATCATCTGCAAACAATATATGAGAGACTTGAAGATCATGTTGAGTTTTAAAATTCTGTATTTTCCCTGAGATAACTGCTAGCTCCATACCAATAGACCAAAATTCCATGACCATAACAAAGATATAAGGAGATAGAGGATCCCCTTGTCTAATACCTCTATTACTTTTAAAAAAACCTGAGGAGGAACCATTTAAGAGGATAGAAAAGGAAGGAGTGGAAAGACATGCTCTGATCCAAGAAATCCATTTAACAGGAAAGCCCATACAATGCATAACATAGTATACAAATTCCCTGTTGATGCTATCAAAAGCCTTGTGAAGATCAATTTTAAAACAGGCTCTCTTGCCATGATTCCTATTGAAATCTCTAAGTAATTCATGAGCAAGTAAAGAACACTCACCAATATGTCTCCCCTGAAGAAAAGCATGCTGATTCTTTGAAATTAATTCCCCAATCACCATCTTTAATCTATTGGCCAGAATCTTAGTAATAATCTTATAAATGACATTGCAACATGAAATAGGTCTGTAATCTTGAATGGAAGTAGCTTCCTTTGATTTCGGTACAAGAGTGAGAAATGTATGATTGATCTGCTTAAGAATTGTACCAGATTTGAAGAAAGATTGCAATGCCAAGACAACATCACCACTGATCATGTTCCAATTTTGTTGATAGAAATATGCGTTGAAGCCATCTGGTCCTGGAGCCTTATCTGCATTCATTTGGAAGAGGGCATTTCTAATCTCTTTGTAGTTAACTTCCTGAACTAACCATTGTTTAGACTCAGCAGTCAGAATCCTCTTTACTGTCAATTTAGGAAAGACATTCCAGTAAGATGTTTGATTGAAAAGATCTTCATAAAAGCTGGCAGCAATGTGTTTAATATTGTCATTTGAAGTGATATGTGATACATTTTGAGCAGTAAAATGTCTGATACAATTTGTAGAATTTCTATGCTTGATAGCATTATAGAAGAATAGAGTGTTTTTATCTCCTTGCTGAAGCCATAGTTGTCTACTCTTCTGCCTCATTTCCTCTTCTTCTCTACATAGCCAACCATCTAGTTCAGTAATTATTGCAGATTCTGAGTCCTGTAGGTCCTCATTATGAAAGTCCTGATTTAGCTTCTGTTGAATGATATCCAATTTGTTTTTAAGCTTCATAATGTTAGCTTTAGGAGATATATCAGACTGATTTGTCCATTGCTTCAATGTCAGTTTAAGATCCTTAAGTTTAGAAACCAAAATAAACATAGGAGAACCTGTGTAATGTTTGTTCCAAACACATCTGAGAATATCTTCATAACCCTGACATTGCATCCAGAAATTAAAAAATCTGAAAGGTTTTGGTCCAGACTGTAATTTGGGTGTCAGATGAAGGAGCGCTGGAGTATGGTCACTAGTTGAAGTACTCTTATATTCTATAAAGGCTTGAGGAAATTGATCAAACAATTTAGTATTTCCCAGACCTCTATCCAATTTACCATATATTCTGCCTTGACCTTGTTGTTTATTATGCCATGTCCATAGAGAACCAGTGCTCTTGATATCAGATAGACCACATGATTGAATACAATCATTAAAATCCTGGAGTTTCTTAACAGTAAGATGTCTACCTCCAATTTTTTCTGTAGTAAATCTACAAACATTGAAGTCCCCCACAAGCAACCATGGCATTGATTTAAATTTATCATAGATGTCTCTAATATCAGCCCATAATGATAATCTTGCAGATTCTGAATTTTCCCCATAAATGACACTCAACAATAAGTTGAAACCTCCTTTGTTTTGAAGTCTAATGGTTATAACTTGTAAAGTAGCAGATAATACATCACCATTCCAGACATCAGAATCCCATACCACCCAGATTCTACCTCTATCAGAAGCAAAATAATTGTTGCAAAAAGACCAATGAGCAGGAATACATTTAGTAATTCTGTAAGCTTTAGATGATTTGACTTTTGTCTCTAATAAACCAACAATACTGGGCTTTAAAGATAAAATATGATTTTTAATATCCCTTCTCCTTCCCAATTTATTCATGCCTCTAACATTCCAAAATAACATAGTCATAAGATATTAGCAGAGGAGGATCTTGTAACCCTCTTTGTACCTGAGGGGTCTTTATTCACTTTGACCTGGCTTTTCTTCTTCATAATCAGCTGGTCTTTTTCTGTTATCCAGTCAGGATTATCAACAGCAATAGTAAAATCTAATCCTTTCTCTTTTGAATTATCCCCATCAGATTGCAAAGAATCCAAAAAAACTGCATTATTTTTAGTCTGTTCTGATTTATTCTCAGTAATAGGAACATCTGTAACTGTAATGTCAGAGGAACCTGGTATATCTTCTAAGATATTAGCAGAGACAGATTGTTGAGGATCATGAATAAAATCATAATTGTTTCTATTAACAGCAACCTTGTTCATAGTATCAGATTTCTGTGGCAGCTCTGCTTCCAGGGTATCAGTTGTATCAGTGTAAGGAGATTTATCTTTCATAGATAACTCTTGGGCATTTAATTTATCCTTTTTAGCTTGGCTTTCATCATTATGAGACACCAACTCTCGATCAGAAAAATCCTCAGAATCCGAAAGAACATCATTAATGGCAACATCATCTTCATTAATGGCATGAATTATACTTCCATTATTTGTAGCTTCAACATTTATCTGACTTTTATTAATAACAGCATCTTCATTTATTAGGCCTTCATTATGTTTAATCATAGATTCTCCAAGCCCTGTTTCATTCAATGTTGTTTTAGCCACCCACTTCTCAACTATAACAACTGGACACTGATGTTCAACATGGCCAAAATTCTGACATTTAACACATTTAGGTGGAATCCATTCATACTCAACGGCAGTTTCCAACCAATCTCCATTCCCTAAATCCATCCTTATATAATTTGGTAGCTTAGCTTTAGATGAAATTTCCACAAAACATCTAGCATATGCTAGCCTTTCCCCCGATGCTGTCGCTTGATCTATATAAAGAGGTTTACCCACAATACTAGCAATACGACCAATAATATTATTAGACCAAAGCTTTAGATGCAGAGCTGGAAGTCTAATCCAAACTGGAACTGAGTTAAGGAGTTCTCTTTCTAATCCAATGTTTTCAGACCACTTTTTTAAGATAATTAGCCTTCCGTCAAATAACCAAGGCCCTCCATTCAAAACTCTGTTTAATTCCTCCTTACTTCCAAATTTAAAGAAGAAAAAACCATTTTCCCTAGAATATATCTCAAGAGAACATTTTAGTTTCCATAGCCGACCAACACAACCTTTTAAATGGGTATAAAAAGGTTTATCACCAAGAACATATCCAATTAAAGTATTATTCCATTTATCAACATTAAGAAGAATTTCAGATCTTGGAATAGAAGCATATAACAAACCATTATATATATATATATATATACATGAAATAACGATACTATTGTAAGGTACAGCACACTATCGTGTGGAAATAACATCCTTACTCAATCGTTCTGCGACAATAGATATATCTCCCTATTCCGGATGATGCATCCAGATGATCATACAGTGGAGCATAGACATATCACCCTAATCCGGAAAACCCTAATCATATTTGAGTATTGGTACAACCGCCGTCTCATTACGGGAAAATGCCCAATACTCCTGGTGTGGTCCAGCCACGGTCTCATTGTGAAAAAACGTCCATCACTGAGCATCCACAACTAAGGAATTATGCATTATCATGTGTTATACCGACACTATCAACTCTAAACATGTGATACGACTCAAACAAAATATGTATTCAACACCCACGCACATATCTTGACGTGCGAATCCACAACTTGTGATCAAGACTACCTCGTGTGTAAAATAATCAACAAGTAGTATATTACAAAGAATGTATATCTTTTATTTTAAGCTAATCGGACAACACATATCAAAATCCCCTTTGGGATACTCATATGTGTGCTACGACACTATACATGTGTACTCAAGGCTATACGTGTATCATCATGCGACTGACACCCCGCGATCATATCCAAAATGCAAGCAAACAACACTCAGGAAACTCAAAAGAGGCAGACCGGTCGACCACCGCAAAGGCACCGGTCAATTGGACCAGGAACGTGCACAAACAGAGATTTGCTAGTCAATCGCCCCTGAGGCACCGGTCGACCGGCTAGAGAAAAAAAAACTTGTTGATTTACGATATCAAAACTTGTTCAAAATTTTTTTTCTTATTACGAAAAATATAACAACACTTATGCTTTGATAATTACTTACTAAAATTATCTTGAACATGATTTAAACTCTTAGGTTAATCTAATTAGGATTTAACAACCTAATTAACAAAATTCCTCGATTAGAACATGATTTCTTAACATGTTTAACATATGATTGCTTGTAAAAACTCATAGATCAGATATAATTTGATTTAAATTTGCCCATATTTCTTATGTTTCACAAACCTAGGTTTTAAGCATCTCTAATCAACATGTAATTTCAATTAAACATCAAATTAGGGTTTAAACATGATTAGAACATGATTAACAAGTTAAAAACTAAATTTTAAACAACCCTAATGATTATTATCATGTTTCTATTATAAACAACAAGAAAAAAAATATGTAGATCTAACATCAGGTTAATATTTTATATCAAAAATCCATTTTTTATCATGTTAAAATTAGATCTAATCATCAAAATAACCATATTACTTCATAAACACATGTTTTAAACTATGGGTAAGGTTTGGATGTAGATGATCTTGCCTTAAGCTCATGTGCATGCCTCTAAAATAAACATCAAGAAATTCACATGTGCAAACAACCCGTTCTCCCTTGCCACAAATCGATAATCTCGCCTCGTGTCGGTATTGTACTTCACAAAGCTCTCAAAATTCATAAGAAAAAGCTATAGGATTTTTAAAGGGAGAGGGTGGCTGCTGGGGTTCAAAGATATGATAAAAAATAGGGATTTTTGTAAAAAAACACAGGTATTTATAGAGGCAAACCCAAAACAAACCCGTTTGACCCGAACAAGGAAACCTAGTCTGACTAGAAAAATCACTTTTGGTATTTTGGCTGTAACTTTTTCACCTGATCTCAGAATGATGTGATTTAAGATTTGTTGAAAATCTGTTGAAGATAACTACAACTATTGTCATTTGAGTTTTCCATATTCCAATTGAATCATTGTGTAAAATACGTATACTCTTAACTGGTCGTTTTTCCATATTTCAGGCTCGTGTATATATTGCATGATTTCACTCCTATATTCACATATATACATTGAATTGATCTCAAATCAATTTTTAGCATAGTCAAATATTAATAAATATTATTTATCACCATATAACACATTTATTATTATATATCAACATATTTTCAAATTCACAGGGTTTTACATTTCACAGTTGGTATCAGAGCTCTAGTTCCAGCATCCTTAGGATTATCCTGTGCTGAGTCGTGGAGCTAGGATAGAGTTTTCTATGATTCATGTATAGAGTCCGCTAGGAATTCCTTGATTAAGTGAGGACATTATATATATAACTCGAAAATTACGAATTTTTTATGATAACTATCATACTTGATGAAAAGTATTTACGTGAGTAATATGTGATACAATTTACCTATTGTTATATATTATGTTATTTTGCTTGAGGTCTTATTTACTGTCTTTTATAAGCTCTTTTCCTAAAATTATAGATGTCAGGGCGAGCTGGGCAAGATAGACCAGAGCCCGAGCCGCAACATGGTCCACAATATCTGATCGACCTCATAGCGCCAATTGCAGCTAGACTAGTAGCACTAAAGGAGCAAATGACAAACTAGATTCTGCTAGCAATACCTTCATATGATGTTCCACCACCAGTCACACCAAACGTGACTATTATAGAGACATCATAGACGGTTACACCATCGCCACCACCAGTTGTTGACAGAACCACAGAGCAAGTTAGAAGCCCTAAAACAAAATAGTTCGGGGATAAGGGCAAGGGTAAAAGGTTGTTTACAGGACCTGGAGGACCTTAGCAGCAGAGTGAACCCTATTTGAATGATCAATAATAGCAGCAGCAAGGTGCTTGTCCAGAGCGACAACAAGATCAGAAAGCGCCAAAGCAGCACAGGTTTCTAGGAAATTATTACCATTACCATAAGTATGGATATCTAGCTAGGGACTACCACAACACACAGGAAGGAGGACAGTAGGACAAGGGTCAGAAATCGTAGCAGGACAAGGGTCTGAAATCGCAGCAGGACTGGAGAATGCCGAAACAACATAGATTTTATGGTGCTTGTTTTCACTGCCACAAGTTTGGTCATAGAGCCGCAGAGTGTTGTAGTGCCCTAGTGGGAAGCCAGCAGGGCAAGGGTCAAGGTAAGGACCATAATAGAAGCCAAGGCCAGCAACAGAGACTGGAAGCACCACCATTATTTTCGAGGATTAAGAGTCAGGTGCATGCTATTCATGAATTACTATAGGGACAGATAGTTCCGGATACTACAAAGCCTTCAGCAAAACTGACTGCAGCTTCCGGTTGACTTTATGAAGTGTACCGCGTGATCAAGATGCGAATGGGACCGTAGTAGAAGGTACGCTCCTTGTGAACTCCTTCCCAACTCTTATCTCTTTGATTCAGGAGTTCCACATTCCTTTTTATTTATTTATGTTCTCACGGATAGACTTTAGTTAGTTACACATCCCCTAGACATTCTTTTGTCAATTTCTATTCTCTTAGGAGATATGTCCCTATTAGAGAGTATCTGTAGGAGATGTGTTATGAGTGCAGATGAGTCTAAGTTCATAGTCGACTCGATCATCTTGCGTATTTCTGAGTTCGATGTAATACTTGGTATGGATTTGATATCTAGCTACCATGTCAGTATCGACAGTTTTATGAAAACAGCTAGTTTGTGAGCGTCCGATGGGTCTGAGTTGGTTGTAGCAACCTCATAAGGAAACCAGTTTCCGGTGTTATTTTTGGCATTCATGGAGAGGGTGATATTGTAGTATCGGTGTGTCGATTTGAATGAGACCAGAGTGGTCTCGGAGTATCAGGATGTCGTTCACGACATACCTGAATTACCTCTAGTGAGGGAGGTTGAATTCTGCATTGAGTTACAGCCGGGCACAACACCGATCTCCCGTGCACCTTATCGCATGGCACCTACTGAGATGAGTGAGCTACAAACTCAGTTAGAGGAGCTATTTGCTTAGGGTTTTATTTGTTGGAGTCATCCTCCATGCAAAGCACCGATCCTTTTCGTGAAGAAGAAGGACGACAGCCTTCGATTATGTGTTGATTATCATGAGTTGAATAAGGTCACAATCTAGAACAGGTATCCACTACCAAGGACTGATGACTTATTCGACCAGTTGCAGGGAGCATAGTGTTTCTTGTAGAATTGATCCTCAATCTGGATATCACTAGTTATAGGTTTGGGAGATGGATATTTCCAAGACCGACTCAATATGGGTCTTTTAAGTTTCTTATCATGCTATTTAGGCTAACCAATGCACCCTCGGTATTTATGGATTTGATGAACTAGATTTTTGTCCATACTTGGACTAGTTCATTATCATTTTCATCGCTGACACCCTTATCTACTCGCGATCGGAGGCCGAGCATGAGTAGCATCTTCAGCTAGTATTGTAGACTATGCGGGTGCACCAATTGTATGCTAAGTTTAGCAAGTGTGAATTTTGGCTTTTAGAAGTCTGATTTTTTGGTCATGTCATTAGCAAGGAGGGCATTGTAGTTGATCTAGTCAAAGTTGAGGCAATTATTGATTTGGAGCCACCGAAGATCATTACAGAGATTCATAGCTTCTTGGGTCTTGCTGGCTATTATAGGAAATTCATTTAGGATTCTTTGAAGATTGCTACCTTGCCGACACGCCTTATGAAGAAGGGTGTATAGTTTTTTGGGGGGCCAGAGTGTCAAAAAGCCTTTTAGATTTTGAAGGCTAAGTTGACTACGACACCGGTTTTGATCATCTCGAGCAGTGATAAGACTTTTACTATTTACACGGATGCATCGTTATCGGGTCTAGGAGGATTTTTATGCAGACCCAGAGAGTAGTAGCTTACATTTCTTAGCAGGTGAGGACTCATAAGTATAATTATCCCACACATGACTTAGAGTTGGCAGCAGTAGTCTTCGCACTGAAGACAAGAGGACATTACCTTTATGGGGTCCAGTTCGAGTTATTCACCAACCATCAGAGTCTAATGTATCTTGTCTCTCAGAAGGAACTCAATAAGAGGCAACGGCAATGGCCCGACTTTATTAAGGATTACGAATTCGCACTTCCGTACCATCCGAGAAAGGTGAACGTTGTAGCATATACATTGAGTAGGAAGCATCGTAACGGGCTTGAAGCTTTGAGGTGCTCATTGTATTGGGATCTTCTCACTCTTAATCAGTTTGACTTTAAGCCAAAGAATGGCGGGAGTAACGCATTTTTGGCAGCTTTAGCCGTACAACCGTCATGGACTGATAGTGTGATCAGTGCTCAAGCGGAGGACTCTTGAATTCAAACCCAAAAGGAGGAGATTTCCAAAGAGCCTAAGGTGGATTGGACCATAGGATCAGATGGGGGCCTTCGAATGAAAGGTCGACAAGTGGTGTTAGAGTTTCCGCAATTGAAGAAGGAATTATTTGGTGAGGCACATCGCACCAGGTACACTGTGCATCCAGGCACAACCAAACTGTACAAGGACCTAAAGAGACATTTTGGTGGAACGACATGCGTAGGGATATCATGGAGTATGTATCGAAATGATTTACCTATCAACAAATGAAGGCAGAACATCAAAGACCCACAGGGACTCTCCAGCCTTTACCCATTCCTGAGTGGAAGTGGGCAGATATTTTTATGGATTTTATTGTGGGCTTGTCGATGTCCAGCAAAGGGAATGATTCGATTTGGGTGATTGTTGATCAATTGACGAAGTCAGTGCACTTTGTTCGCGGGAAAAATTGCTTTCTTCATTGAATTCATTGTTCTCTCGAGTAATTGTTTTTCGATTACAAAAGATCCGGTCTTTTTATAAGATCCGGTTACAACGAAATCAAGGAAAGAATAAAAAGATTACAACTTTCCTTTTTCGAACGAATCACAAGATCCTGTTTTGCGGTCTCTTGCTTTTGTGGGTTCTTCGCCTGCGCCGGGGTTAATCCGTGGACCACCGCGCGATCTTGATCCGGTCGGATCTACACGGTATAACGGGTATTATTTCGCCAAAGAAATAATAGCCGGGGGTGATTAATTCACCAAGGAAATAATCGCCCTCTCGGGATCAAAGGCCAAGCTTTGATCCGGAGTATAATCGCGTAGATCTCAGATCCGATCCCTCTCGAACTCTTGCCTCTTTTAACGTGGACGATCGTCGAGCACCGGATCTGAAAGAGCAAGTCTTCAAAGTTCTAAAGCTTTAATCTTTTTAAGTTTTGAGCCTTCAATCCAGCAGAGCTTCGCATCCAAAAGTTCCAACCTTTAACAAATGAGCCACCCCTCCTCTACTTATAGGCAAATGAAAGCGGATCTGGGCCCAGATCTGCCCGTGGCTCGGCCACCGAGCCACCCATGGGTGGATCGGCTCTGATTTAGAAGTCCGGATCCCGATTTAGCAGTAAATCCGCTCCGGTGTTTGAGTTCGAATCCGTTCTACGATCAGATGACATGTTGACTCACCGAACCGTTAGCTTGATTCCGCACGCGAATGGATGCATTCCGTTGCTTGCGTGCGATTCGTTAACCTCGTCGCCTCGTTAATCTGCTTCGTTGCGTGTCACTTGGCTTTGGTGTTGTGGACTGACGTTCGTGTTTAGATACGTCACCCGATGGTTTGTCGGTTTGTGCCGAGCTGTGCTAAGGGACCTATAAGTAGTTTTATACGCCTACAGATACCCCCTCTAAACTATTTCAGTCTCGTTCTTTTATAGAAGAGTCTGGAATACTTTGGATATGATTGTCCCAACCTTCAGTCGGTGTAACGGGACCTTGGAATGGCTTCTGTTCTTGATTCCTTCAATCCTTCAGGCTATTCGGTGCTTTGTCGAATGTCTGTAAGGGTCCCGGTGCTGCATTTATTGTCTGACCGTTGTCGGAATTTTGAACTTGAAGTCGATTCCTGATTTTCTGATCTTTAGCTCGTGTTTGCTGGTTCAACATAGAACTGACCATCGATTGTTGGCGTTGAGTTTTTATTTTGTGATGCGTTATCCGACGTAGTGTTGTTGAGTTATCCTTAAGAATATTTTTAGAAAAATATTCTCCAGAAACTTCTCAACCAAAAACAGAAAATAGTTTATACTCGTATACCTTATTGGAGTATTAAGAAGTAGTTTATACTCGTATACTTTTCGGAGTATTTTTTGTGCCCGAATGAGCTGAACCAGCCTAATAATGACCCAAAAAAAGCAGTAATTAGGCTCAAAAAATCTTCCGACCCTTCCGAATGTGTGGGAGAGGACAGAATAAACAAAGGACAAAAATCTTCCGACCCTTCCGAATGTGTGGGAGAGGACAGAATAAACAAAGGACTGAACCCTCGGTCGATTTGAAGTTGTTTCGATGCTCGGTTCAGCTTCAATTTGAATTCTAGTTCAAATCTGGTTTAAACTGGCTCAACCTGGTTCAACCTGGTTCAAGACTGGTTCAAGGCTGGTTCAAGACTGGTTCAGTCTGGTTCATCCTGGTCTGGTTTGGTTCAGTCTGGTTTGGCCTGGTTCAGCCTGGTTTGGCCTGGTTCAGCCTCTTTTGAACTGATTTGGACTGGTCTGGTTTGGTTCAACCTGGTCCGGTCTGGTTCAAGGCTGGTTCACCTTATAAAAGGGGTTCTTTTCTTCTTTGTTTTCCTCCTCCTAGGGCCGGCCCCCCCTTGTCCCTCTTTTTGGATTTTCTCTTCCCTCGAGCATCCGTTCTCCCTCAAATCTTCATAATTGTCTTAGATCCATCCTTCCTTTTGATCTTTGACTGAGAAATCCCTCAGAAATCTTCATATAAAAATTCCTCTCAGGCCCCTCGAGCACGTGGTCTAAGCCTCTTTCAAGATTTGATTTTTTGTCGGATCTTCGAGCTTTCCCTCAGGTAAATTCTCCACAATTTTAGTATATTTCATGCTTAATTTAGTACATGAATTTGTGGTATTGCATATGAGGGTTAGGGTTTATGATTTGGCGCCTCGAGCTCCTCTTTCAGGAGGTAGAATTTAGAGATTTGAGGGGCTTAATTGTAATAAATAAGGAAATTTTTTTTTTGGATCTGATCCTCTGATTTATTTTGCAGGTCACCATGTCTAAGAAGATGGTGAGACCCGAGATCATCCTGATATCCGACGATGAAGGGGAAGAGGATCCCATTGTTGTAATTATGCATGGCCAAGAATCTGTCCTCCCGGTCTCCGAATCCGTGCAGGGCATCCGC